AAAAAATTTTTTTAATAAATAAAAAAATCATTTAATCTAAAAAAAACCATCCGCCATTACTTTCAGCCGGCACTGTAGTGATGGTTTAGTCGAGGAATAAGAGCAATGGATCCAGCCTCGATTATATTATTCACCTCTGTTTTCATTTCGAAAACCCTTGCTATCGAATTGCGCACAAATTTATGCATTCTCTTCGTTATTCTACTCTATTTTAGAGACTCTATTCGCGAAAACATGATGTAACGTGATATCGCATTGCGCACCTGCGCCACATTTACCAATAAAAACCAGTTCTCGCGAAACTTTCTACGATGTTATTTTTTAATATTTGATTTTGTGAAAATGTTCTTTAAGAAATTTATCGAAATGTTACCTTTTAATTGTCTAAATTTATTCTTCATGCATACTGGTAGTTACTTATATATACTGTATTTTATACTTTTTTAAATATTTTGACTTACAAGAATAATATCATTATATAAATCGATGTGGATGTCCTAAACAATTCCAAGTTCGAACCAGAAGGTATATTTAAGCATAAAAATGAGAACCGGAAGTATAAAGAAGAAATTCCTGATCGTGGCTTTAATATTTAATAATTTTTTTAAAAAAATTAAAATTTGGTTTAAAATAATGCTTCGGACCCTAACGGTTTCCGTTTTCTACTCCTCTTCATGATATAACTGAGTAAATTAACTTTGCAAAAAAAATTATTTATTTTTTTTCTTGTATATTTTTATTTAAAAATATAAAACTTAGTAGTATAGAAACCAAATAATACGTATATAATGCAAATTTTAGGATTACAAAAATAATCACCCTATTAAAAAATAATATATATTTTTTCTGGCAGTTCAAATTAATTAAATTATATAATAGATGTAAAAATATCATACAAAATTAAATTAACTACACAGTATCAGCGCACAAATTTGTAAGCAAAATAAAATTTTGACAAGTATTAATAAATTCTCATATGATAATCTATATTTGAGATGGTAGAGTACTGTATATCTTACCTTTGAAATGTTACATTATTATAAGTTGTGTATCTGATATACTGCCGAACAGACAGCAGCCGAAAACAATAGTGGGCAAACGTGATAGGTATTGTACGGAGACGGAAACAGATAATAAAAAATATTCCCTATAATTTAGATCCCGGTGTCTCGTATTCAACGTAAAGTCGTTCAATTATATTCTTGTAATGATTTAGTGCGGCGGGGCGCTTTAGTTTTAACCTATCGTTTTTTAAGAATTTCTGTATAAGAAGATCAAGGTTATATTGAATAAATATGAAATACTGTAACACTTACGTTGGTGTCAAGATACCATTTACAATCGAAAATGGATTTAACTCAATGTGAATAGCCTTCACAAGTTCAAACCTAAATCAAGCGAAAGGTGAATAAAGGAAATAAGAATATTTTGATGATCAACTTACCCTTTCAATCCGTGGGCCCTTCCAAAATCGTTAATCTCCTTTAATAGTTCATTACGAACTTTTCGATTATTTGCGAGTGACTTTAGTTCCTCTTGAATATCCCCGCTTGTAGGGAATTTCTTCTCAACCCAAGAAATAAACGCATTTGTGTGGGGCACGGCTATGCCGACCAATGCTGATCTCACAGAATCTCCGTGAACATACATCTGTTGTACAAGTGGAGATCTTTGATATACGACTTCGATCTAATGCATGGAAGGAAATGCGTACAGATTCCCGTGAAGATTTATTGAAAAAGGAATAAATAAATAAATAAATATATTAAACATACCTTCTCGGGAGCAATATATTCTCCTTGAGCCAATTTAAAAATATTCTTTTTCCGATCAATAACGATCAGGCATCCGTTGGAATCAATCGTGCCAATATCGCCACTGTGTAACCATCCATCCTTTAATAGACGCGAAAACATTAAACCAAATATATATATATATATATTTTTTCCAAGAAACCTATCGAAAAGAAAGGCAAGTCCGAAACTCACCTCGTCGATAACCTCTTTTGTTTTCTCTGGGTCCTTATAATACCCCTTCATCACATTTGGTCCGCGAACACAGATCTCGCCTCTCGGATATGGCTTATCCTCGCTCGTATATTCCATTTCCGGCACGTCAGAGAGTTTTATCTCTGAACTATAATTTATCAGAGTGTAAATGGAAAAAAAAAGTGGAAAAGGTAAACGACGTATTTACTACCGCCTACCAGATAAATGGTGGACCAACGTGAGATGCACGTGGGTCGCCAATAATCGAATTTGTTGCTAGTCCAGTTCCTTCGGTCATTCCATATTCTTAAATGCAAATAAAATTTGAGAAAGTGATTTTTTATTTTTTTTATTTCACGCATAAAAAAACATATTTGAAATTATACCTTCAATGAATGGCGCCGAAAATATTACCGACAATAATGACTTGATCTCTAGTCCAATAGGCGCGGAGGCAGATTGCAAGATTCTCACTTGTCCACCCAAAATTTTCTTATATTTACTCAACACAGCATCATATACTGGATGCGTAACTTTCCCTGTATTCCTCAACAACTTCAACTTTCCGTCAATTGCTTTCCTAGTCGTCTCTACCATCGCACCTGCCGTATTCATGTGGGATTCCGTTAACAGATTGTAAATCCTGTTAAATATCCTGGGTACTGCAGGAAATATGGTCGGTTTGAGTAATTGAACATCCTCGAGCAATCCGTCAATAATTCCATGGTAGTATCCAATCGCACTTGCGTGAAATATGGCCTGTGCTTCGCAGGCTCGGCCGAATATGTGGGCCAAGGGTAAATAGGATATTATTATGTCGTCTGTTCTGCCTTGCAAAGTGAATGCCAAGCCAGACAGCATCGCCGCAAAATTTCCATGAGTCAACATCACACCTTTCGGAAGTCCCGTCGTGCCTGAGGTGTAAGAGATAGTGTTAATATCTTCGGGTTTTGGTGGATTGAATTGTCTAGGATGATCTCTTCCAATATTCTCGACTTGGTCAAAGGTGTAAATATAGACGTCCTTTTCGGAGGTCAAGTTTTGGTAATTCTCCAATGGGTCCATGGAAATTATAACTTTTACGGAAGTTTTGGAAGAGAGTTCAACAAGATTGGTGATGTGGTCTGCAGATGCGATGACGATCTTGATCTCCGCATGTTTAAGGACATATTCCACGGCCGCGGAGCCGAGGGTGTCATAGAGTGGGACGCTTATAAGATTATACGCCGAAATTGCTTGCTCCGTTATATGATACTATTATGATATGGATAAACTTAATGTAGATCTATTTATGATTATTCTTTTTACAACGCGAAAATAAAACGGAATGGGAAATTGCGAACCTCGGGCCGGTTGATACTCCAGACACCAATTGAAAATTTCTCCGATTTTTCATTTTTCACCACGTGCTCATTCAAGTATAACAATCCACTTCCAAAATTTGTAAATCTTTGTAGAACTTCTTCATATGACTGCCAGACGTAATCCTCGAATTTCCCTGTCTGCTTATTGTAGGGTCTATGACCCAAACACCTTTCGTTTCGGCTAACCTTAAGAGCTATGAGAAAAGAGGCGAGGGAGTTGTGATAAGATGACATGGGAATGTGAATGGCGAAAAAAAGTTCACGCCAAACCTACCATTCTGAAAACTTTCAAACAATGTAGAAATTTCTGGGCACGGTCTATCATAAAGTTTGTCAGGAGAGGTCGCGTTTCTATAGATGACTATGTATAATTGATCGAAGAAAACATCAGGATACAAGGTTCCATTGAAAACGATGTATAATTCAGAAAAATGAATGCTAACAAGATTGCCCGGGTTTTTTCGAATTAGGAACCTTGACGGCTTGGAGATCAAAATTAAAGTTTTCGAAAGAAGGTACGGACATTTTATGTCTCTTCTTATTTATTTATTTCAATCGTTCTTTTTTATCGAAGTTACGCAGAAAAAATAAATACATACGAATTTTCGATTCTTTTATAAGGTTTTTCGATTATTCTATGTTATTAATAAATATACCTTTCCTTAAGTTGCTAACGGAATTATATATTTTTAGTTAATATAAGAAATTCTTTTTAAAGACTAATTTGACATGTGGGGGAGTTTCGTCGTATATAGACACGTTGTACCGGTTAACATATTTGAGAAATTAAAAATACACGATTAAGACAGCTTCATTTAGTATCACGTGTAGCATTCGTAGAAGACCCGATTAACAACGATTGGCAAGGAGCTACACCAAACTGGTTAAACATCTGAACAAAAAAAAATTTTTTTATTTTGTAAAACGAGATCTATATTACGAAAAAAAAAAGAATCAATTTGGGTCGTTAGTCACCGAGATAAATGGATTCAATTCAGAAATGAATTACTCTTCTTACCTTTTCCGATCAATCCGATATGTTTTACGATCAGGACTCGCAATTAAAAATCCTCCGAGACGGCTAAGAACATTTAATACGTCATTTTGCGTCATTTTATTAGTGAAACATATGAATTACAAATTCTCTTTCGTCCACACATCTTTCAGAAAAGAAAAATGAATATTTATAATGTGTGTTTATGTGATACGAACATAAGTCCTTTATTCTACAAAGAGATGATTGTCTTAAGGTTTTTTTTACCCATGGTTAGATTCGTTTCGAAGAAAATAAAGATGAGATTAAAACAAACTGATTTTTTGTGAATTGTCTTTATCACCAATCAATGGTTTACAATTTTTAATTAATAAGTTTACTTATGAAATCGGTTTCATAAAAGTGCTTGATGTACCTATCTTCATAGATACCACTAACCCATAATTATATTACTTATCATGCCCAATTTCTTTGACATCCTCTCTTCCCTCTTACGCTGAAAAATCGCGTTGAATTTTATTCGCGAACACTAATTTAAATAAGAAGATCTTATAGCAATAAAATTATATGATTATTATATGTACAAGTAAAGGATTAAAAAAAAAAATAAAAAGTGTCGATTTTGTGGTTCGTTCTATGCAATCAAAAGATTGATTTGTTTCGCTTCAAGGGATTACTGTTGTCCTCCAGTTGTTCTTTCTCGATTTCCAACAACCTCTTTTGTGAGTTCAAAATGTTAGTCATCAACGATGACCGTTCTAAATCCCTCTTTAGCGATGCTATTTGTTCTTGAGCTTTCCTCAGATCTTCTAACGCCTGATCTCTCTCTTTGCGCATCTTTTCCATGTTCTCCTCGTAGACAACATTATACTGTTCCTGCGTCCTGATGTGGTTCAATACTACATCCAACAATTGTTTACTAGTGAATGTCGGAACTTGTGACCACGATTCAAATGATGAAGGTAGGCTGTTTAGAGAAGGCTCATCCGTTGCCGTGGTGTTCCGCACGCCCACTTGAGAATTATCCGGCGAAGATGATATATTTCCCATGGTATCTCTGCTATTTACTATGGCTTTATTAAAGTAATCGGTGTTATCATGCTCATCATTTTCCCTGTTATTATTATTGTTCTTGGATTTTGCCGAGGCATTTCTTGCTTGTTCCTCTTCAATTACACCTAAAAACCATGAAGGGTCCATATCTTCTGCTGTCAATTCCAATAAGTCGTTATTTGATGCCTTGGTTTGTTGCACGGAAGCTTCCTGTTGATTTTGATTTGTTGTTGCTTTATGATTTGGCAACCTCTCGATTACTACTGACACCTCGTGGGATGGTATTGGAATGGTTTGTGATCGAGATCGAGATGCGGTGGCTGGACGATCAGATGATAACAGCGTGGCAGGATTTGTGTCACGTGATACACGCTGATGTGTTGGGACGTAATCCTCCCGGTGCGATGGTAATCTTGGTGGAAGATATTGTGCTTCTTCCCAGCGAAAATAATTACATTGTTCTCCAGTTTCATACCTCGGGCAAGAGAAAAACTTTCGTCCTTTATTTTTGTTATCCTTTTTAACCTCGCGCAGTATCGCCAACTCTTCGTGTTCACATCTCATTACTCGCAATGGTTTTCGTCTAATGGAATTGAGCGTTCCTAGGATTGTTGGCTCATAATCTGTAGGATTCTCAACTACCATAGACAAGTCTAGATCTCCAGAAGTCTCCTCGGTAATAAGATTGGTCGATGAATTTTGATTAACGAAGGCATTCAGGCGATTATGAATTATCGTACCAGACGAGGTAAATTTAGAAGTATTGGTTGTTTCTGTTATGGTGTTTTCGACTGTTGGATCATTTACAGATGGTATCTCATTATCACCCGAATCTGTTGGTGAGTCCAGAAGGGAAATGACAATGGCTGGGGTATTTGAGCGATTGTCCGAAATTTTTGAAGGCTTGTGAATTAATTTACCAGTTCCGACATCGACATTTTTTGTTAATGTGCCCGGAATAAAATTGGTATTGGTCATGATAGAAGTAACTTCTCTAGTAGCTGAGAGACCACGATGTTGATCTTCGTTGTCTGACAAGAGTATATTGGTGGATTGTGAAGACCGGCGAGTATTTGCCCCTGATTTATGGGTTACCACATCGGTATTTTCTAGTACTGGATTTTGGGATATTACCTCGAGCTGTGTCGAAGCATTCGAAGAGGCGGATGAATTGTCAGGTAGATATGGAGGTTGGAAAGATTCGAACATTGCTGTGGAGGCCATGCGATAATCTATTCAACCAAAAATCTAGACAATGAGTAGTGTGGTAATTGAGAATGTTGTGTTTGGTTAAAAATATATATTCAAGGTGCGGATTCAAAGAAGTTATAAACAGTATAACATACGAGCGTGAGTGTTGGTAAGTCGTCAAAATTGAAGACGGACAATATTTATTTATAAGTTTTTTTTTTTGCTGAGCTGAGAGGGGGCGTAGAACATCCATCAATTGTATGCATGATATTAATATTATATAAGATATTTTATAAATATCAGTGTAAAAAAATGCATTACTCATTATACATTGTATGTGCACAAAGTAAACGTACTGGTGACAACATGTTGACGCACCTCAGCCAACGGTGATTTTGTTTGATATTTTAAATCTGAAACCCGATTGATCAGATATCCCTGAAAAAAAATTTTTTTTTTTTTTTTTTTTACTTGCGGGGAAAGGAGTATGGAATTTCGGAATCAAATGACGAATGAAAGTACATTAGCTCTTTCGTGGAAAGACCTTCGGACTGTGTAAGTCCTCCAGGTATGGAGCAGTGTAAGTCAGGCAAATAGGTGAAATGACTAATAATATAGTCAATTAGATGTTGAAGGAACCATGTTTTTTACGCATTCAAGGAAAACCTTATCCTTATATATTGTAGTTGATCCAAATCGGTCACATTGGTAACATAATTGGAAATATAGTGATTTTCCGGTTAATCAACGTAATAACAAGGAAATAAGACCGGTTCTTTTCAAGTTTTCGTCTGCAAAACAATGGTTCGATACGATGCCGTTATGGATAGTGTGAATGGCGAAACGGGAAAAGTCGCAGAGGATAGGAAAAGGTCTTGTGAATGTTGTGGGTGTCTGCTTACCTACCTGTAAAAACTCTCATGATGCTTATTTTCCAAATCGGTATTCCAAACAAATCACGCTATGTACCCCGTGGAATTCGACTTCTCAAAACGGTAATTCAAATTTAACTGTTACCGAGTAAAGTATATTGTCAACTTCTCAACACCGTCTCATGGGAAATGTAATTACGTGTTCATAGTGTGCATTGGCAAATACACAAATGGTTTACAATATGAACGTATGTGTGATAAGGGGGCTGTCCGACGTTTGATACTCACACACGTACGTAAGTGCGTACTATTCGGCAGGGTATATTTCCTAATTCATTAAATAATGTTAGTCAAATAGCATCATCTTGTTTAACATGTTTGTCAAAGTGTCTGACCTAACAAGGCAGGCTGTGACCCGGTTTGTTATTGAAATTGCACCAATAGCTTGTTCGAGTATGGTAAATCAAAAGTCCAATGTCGTAAGGACGAGCGTATTTCATTAAGGGCTGGGTCGTAATTGTTACCAAAAACAAAAAAAAATGGTTGAGTATACAAAGGATAGACAAGCAGATTATCTCTTTTTGATTAAATAAATGGAATTAAAACATTTACATGATTCACATGCGTACGTATGTATTACAATATATACGCTTCATTAATTCTTACCATTGATTATGATTCTGTGATTAGCCGCAGTCCGATTAACAAGGAAAAAGAACGTCTAGGCTGTGTACGTCAAATAATAGAAGGACACTGCATTAACCTGTTGACGCCAAACGAATGAAATGATTGTGTATTGAGGTCATTGTAATTTCCCAATTATTCTGTATCATGGAATCCAAGGTCCATGCGCAGACGCTGACTGTCAGCGGGACGAACAAATTAAGACTAATCAACAAATGGACAAGCATGTCTCTTTGTTTGATGTCTTGACATGCTATTATGCTCGAGGCTTTTCTTTGTTTGCCGCCACTTTGGATGTGTGCGTCAGACCTCGGTGTTTGACGAACTTGTCAATTCGCTATCCACGGTTGGTTTATATGCGCAGGAGATAAGTAATACATTCTTTCATGTTTTTTTTTTGCAACAGGTGGGCAATGTCATTAGATCGCAATTGGCCCCTATAGCTTAAGATTGTTTCTAAAAACAGGTCATTGAATCCTCTCTTGGAAATGACAATAGGTAAGACAAGCAAGTTTGATTGTTACCTTTAATTATCTCACCAGGTCCTGAGAACCCGATTCTAAATATCAAACTTTTAATGATTTTTAAGTGCAAAGGTATTCCGATAAGTAACTTGATTAGTAAGGGCCATTAAAAAACATTTTTAATTAGAAATTCTCGGAAAAATCATCTTTGAAACGAAAGCACGATTTGGACTCGTATTTTATTGTAAAATAATTATTCGAGATATTTGAAGATGTTTTTGCACAAAATCAATGTTTAATTAACGATTAAGCTGTGTAAAATTCCTATTCCTCCATTAAAATACTTTTTTTTTGTTTTTAACGAGTATTCATTAAGTTCTAAAAACAATATGAATAAGTATTAAATGTTATTTTTTATTAACAAAATAGATTATTGATATATGGTATTTTAAATTTTTATTTTACATTTATTAACAAAAAAAAGTGGAAGTTGTTTAACAAATTTTTTAGATATTGATTTTGAATAAATAATCTTTAATATAAGTTTTTTATTAAGAATATTTGATTCTTTTTTTATTTTTGAAAAAATACATAAAATCTTAAAAATTCAAAAAAAAAAATTTTTTTTTTTCAAGTAAATTTTCTTGAAAAACAGTTTGAAATAATAGATTTTGTATGTTTTATAAAATAAGTTGATTTTTTTAAATATTAATGTGAAACTTATTTCATTTCTATTCAAATATACAGTATTATTTTATGATCTGTTTAAATTTATTTATTTTATACAAATTTATGTTGGATATTATTCATAATCAATTTTATTTTTAAAACAATAATTATACATTTTGTTTTAATTGTTAATTTATATATTTATTATTGTCAATTATAATATTTTTTTTTTATATATTGAAATCAAGTTTTTATTTTTTATATTTTTCACTATATCATATATTACAATGTTTAATAATATTAATATCTAATCCAATAAGAATTTTCTTAATTCTAATTTTTCATATAAATTAATATTTGATTTTTTTTTTTTGTATTATTCTTATCTGTTATACAACAAAAAATTGTTTTTTATATTTTATAAAAATAAACAAAATTTTAATACAAAATTGTATTTGATCTTATATAAAAAAATTTGATAATAATAATTTATTTATTTATTTATTGTTTTTTTGTTAAGAAATTGATTTGAAACAAATAGATACTTATTATAATTTTATTATAAATCTTGTAATATAATAAAAAAATTTATATCAAATATACAAGTATATAATTAAAACAACCTATAGGTTTATAGCATAGTGGTAATGTTCTATAGGTCACCAGGAAAAGGTCTAAGATTCAAATTTATCTGATTATAAAAATTTACTACTTTTATAATTGGTTAACTAACTTTCAATATATATTGTATCCAATTGATTAAAAATCAATTCCAAATTCAATTAGGTTGCATGAAAATGTAATCTTTGGTTTTTTTAATGATTATGAATTGAAAAAAGATTGAAACAAGAAAGATTATATAAAAAAAGACTTGATCTAACTCTTATTATAAGTTTATATTTCTTTCTAATATGGCAGACTCTATAATAAAAAGCATATTAATCAAAATAAAATATTTTGAAAAGAATTATTACAGAAATATAAATATATAATAATAGTTTAAATAAAGAAATATAATAGTTATTAATGATTTGTTATTATTAATGGAAAACTTTATTAATGGAAAATGAGATAGACAACTTTTAAAAAATATATAATCTTTATTTATTTATTTATTTATTTTAATCTCTAATTAGACTGCAAATGAAAGCATTTATTAATTCAATTTTTAAAGAATAGTAATACAATATACACAATATTATACTAAAACTAAATTAGTACAATTTTGTAGAATACTTGTCAATGGATTTAGATTTGTATATGATTCTTGAATCCTCAATATCAAGACTATCATGCTACTCATATAATTTAGCTATTTACTAATTATCTTACTACAAGAAAATAAGTTCATTAAATTATTACTATATGATATTAACTATCTTAGATTTTTTAAATCTAAACTTTCTAGATATGTATTGCTTAAAACAAAACTTATACTTTAAAAAATTATTGCTTGATACCTTTTCAGAATAATTAACAATAGAAGAAGCTTGTTATTAAATTGAAATAAAACTTCTTTTAATCTTGAAAAAAAAAATCCAGTTCAAGAGAGAGAGAAAAAACATCAAATCACTTTTATTTAAGAAAACATTATAATATCTTGCTCTTCTGTTTTCTTCAATTACATTATTATTATTGTATTGTATTATAGAAAACATATAAGAAATATATATCTTGTTTACTTTTTTGCTATGTATTAATTAACTAATTTAAAACCTTAACCAATCACCAATTGAAAATTCTAATGTAACAAAAAATTCAGTGTCAAACTGAAGTAGGCAAAATTTCCAAAAAATTTTAAAAATTTGTTAATACACTTGAAAAAACTGCTGCAGATATTTAATTGATAGAGAAGATTATATGTTCATATATACAAACCAAAACACTAACTTATCTATCCATTCCTAACAAAAATATTTACTTGTGATAAATTCAAGGTTCTTATAAAGCTTGAAAAATGCATTTACTAGTAAGTTCTTCTAGAATTCCAGATCTTAAAAAAAAATAGAAAAAAGTATTTTTTTGATAGGTTTCTTTTTTTCAATAAGGTGTTTTTATTATAGACCAAATAGATAAGTTTGAATATTTTGTTACTAAAATATCTAAAGAAGAAAAAATAGACAAATGGAAAAGATTTTTGCCTTTAGAAATATATGTTATTAAAGAAAATATTTAAACTTTATTATTGAAAATAAAAAATCTTTCAAAAATATATGTTTTTTGGATTGGCAAAAGGATTAATAGAAAGAGTTTTAATAGATCATTATATTAAAATTAAAAAAAATATAATCTTTAAATATATGTTTTTCTAATATATATAAATAGAATAATATATATATATAAT